CTATTCGGTATAATTACAGAGATAAGGAGAAGATACATACCTGTCACCATGTCAGGAGCTGCTCGTACCTCCTCTGTAGTCAGCTTGAACGCCCTACTCTTCGCCGCTGGCGCATCTGCCCGGACCTAACGGCTGTCAGTAATCCTTAATGTCACAGGACCGGGTGCTGACACCGGTCCTGCCGTAGCCAAACTCGGACAATGGGCCTTCTTGTGGCCCTATGATTGCATTGGAAGCAAATCAGGTCAGATAACTGAGTGGTGGGGGTGGTAGCAGTACAATCTCTGCCGATGTGACCAGTCCGGCTGCACTTGAAGCAGCCAGAATCCACCCCTATGCACGTCCCCTCGTGCATCTTGTCGCACTTGCCACAACGGCTACGACCCTGCTGTCCCCTCGGTCGAGAATCAGATACACTGGGCCTCTTGCCCGAACCCTCAACACTCATCGCAGAACCTAGCTTCCTCTTCTTCTCAATCTCTAACTCAATCTCCCTCTCCCTAGCCCTCGCTATCATGTCTTCCAGCATCTTGCAGCTGGATCGGCTAACGAACTGCCGAATGTCGCTCCTCAATATCTTGTGGTACCGGGCCTTCTTCATCTCCTCGTCCGCCACATACTGCGGAACCAAAAGTGCCCTCTCCCTGAACATAGCGGTGATCTCAGTCACTGTCTCAGCAGTCTGACTGAGATCCTGAAACTCCTGCTCCAGCTGTTGCACCTCGATCACCGGTGCAAACTCGGCTCGGAACCTAGTCGAGAAATCACTCCAGGTCATCGAATCAATACCATCACCTCCTACAGCATGCCCTACCTCCTCCCACCAATCACGAGCCTGGTCCTTCAGGAGGTAGGATGCTAGTCTGACCTTGTCCCCCTCGGGACAACGACTAGTACGAAAGGCGTTGCCAACATCTGCCAACCACCTGTTGCTCGCAATGGGGTTCGTGGCCCCATGATAGTCTGGCGCTCCACATGCCGGGTTCGTGGCCCCATGATAGTCTGGCGCTCCAAATGCCCGAAACTCCCGAAGGTCAAAGAGCGCGTCCCAATCAATGCCATAATCTCAACGTGGAAGGCGCTCAATCTCTCATCAAGAATCTCCAGAATACCCTCCTTGACCGAGCCAAAGATCACAGGAGTCTGATCAAGGATACTGCACGTAATCTCATACGAGATGAACTCCCTCATCTGGTCATCAAGCTGCCCGGCTCCAGAACCCGAGCCTGAACCCTCCCCGACACCGAAACTGCCCACTGGCCTGCCTCGCAATACCACCATACTAAAAATAGATCATACAACTATCATAATAAGAATCAATGCGCATATCGGGAAAATCATAACTACATAAGCTTCCTGGCTTCATTACAGCCCTCCTTGAATCGAGTACGGATCCTATACTTCCAGTAATATGGGCCCATATCACCTTTCGCATCTATCTGTACTTTCCTCAAAAAGTGCCTTCACTCAGCCAAGTTACTCTATAACCAACAAATCCCTCGTAGCTAGGGCTCCCAACACTAAATCTCATCCTAAGTTTTCCTAAGGCAGACTCCACACCACTATCTGCCATCAGCTGCAGAAGGAACTCATGCTAACCTTCTCTAACTAGCTCACGAATACAATTACATATTACAAATACTAGATAATTTTTCGAATGAGAGGTCTCTCCCTATAACGGTTGGACTCAAAAAAGAGTTGTGCAACAGAGCTAAACCTAACCTTCTGAAATTATTTAGTTTTCGTAATGTGTAACTTTGCATATTCGCTTACTAACTAGCTAAGACTTGCAAGAACTCCTAAAAGCATAAAGCAAGCAGCATTCGGGCATCAAGTAAACATAACTGAACATAACCTAATCAGGTCATCCTATCGTTGGCTGATCAGTACTAGCATACAAATCTATAAGCTCATACAACATGCATACAAAGGCATCCCTCCTAGATCCTTAGCCCTAATCTAGCATGTGATTCACAATTCACAATTCATAATTCATATCATATATAAGCATGTATGGGTATTTTGGGATAACTTACTTGAGCTCGGCTGATTTAACACACCACACCCTTTTCTCTTTTAGAACTTCTTTTTATAAAAATGTTTTCTTTTAAAACTTTCTACTAAGTCCTTATTTTGAGTTCAGACACACCCGAGATTGTGCCCGAATACCTCAAACCAAGGCTCTAATATCAACTTGAAACATCCAAAAATATGGTCCCAAAAATTTTGTTTTTAATAATAGATAAAATAGTGATTCCAATAACATCCAATCATCTCAAATAAAAAGTTAAAAACCAATGTATCAGTTGTCATAAAATCAGAGTAAAACATCATTTGCGGAATCTTAATGGTGCGTGCGATGCAGTCATCCTAAGCTCTTCCCCTTGGAACCAGAAGTACTTGAAACATAAACTAAAAACCGTAATCACAAATCTTAGTGAGTTCCCCTAAAATACCACATATCAAACATACAATAAACATATAGTGGGACCCGCCCGACATCGAGTTGAGCTCGGTAAAATGGGCCCCGCCCAACATACAATGACTGATATCAACGTAAACACATACTCATGCAATAATAACATAGATACATAACATACAGAAATCCATTAGGACCCGCCCGACATTGAGCCTTAGCTCGAAATACATACAAGCACATGCAAGAGTGACGAAGACAACTAGCATACTAACAACATAATATAAACATGGGACGACCTTGGTGCCTTCGACCCGCTAAACCCGGTAAGGAAACTCACCTCGAATACAGAAAGGTGGCTAAACGGATCCCGTCTCCGAATATCGACTCAACTCAACCCTTAAACATAAAAGATTTTCTTAAGTTCAGCAAAACCCTAAAATTAGGGTTTCCTCCTGAGCGGCCAACTCGCCGAGTTGAGGCACCTCAACTCGTCAAGTTGCCTCATAAAACCCCGCAGTCAAGACAACTTCTACTCGACGAGTTGAGGCTTCCAACTCGCGGAGTTCTCCAAGGAAAAATATAACAATTGCAAAGATAAATACATACCAGGAACTAGGCATTACAATTCTCCCCCACTTGAATCATACTTCGTCCTCGAAGTCCACCGTCTCGAACAATCCTAGATAATGGTCCGTCGTCTCCTCCTCATGCTCCTAAGTCCATTCCGACCCCTTGCGGTGCAGCCACTGCACCTTCACAAGCTCCACCACCTTTTTGCTCAAGGTTTTCCATCTTCCGATGCATTATTCTTGTTTCCACCATCAGCTATGTTCATGTTTATAACATATCTATACTTTATTTTAAACATTAATTATCTGATTATCTAAACATATAAATATTATTTAAATAGATAAATATTATCTTTGTGATTTTGCGTATACACATATCCGAATATTTATGGTTTGGTGTCGTAATGTAAGGTATTTCCTGGTATAGACATGCATCGAACAACAAAGAAAATGTTAACCACGTATATGCAAAACTTCAAAATGCCATTGAGTGTGATTTTAATGTATTGAAAGCATGGTTCCGTGCACAAAAGAGATGGTTCCATTTATGTCGGTTAACCAATGAAACATTATCATTACATTTTTTGCATTTTATAATTTTATACGAAAAGAGAGCTTAAGTGATGAGTATTTATATAATTACGTTCAACTCGATATGCCACTTGCAAATAACCATGTACAAGATGATGATGAGGATGACAACATTCAAACAAGTGAAAGTGCAGCGCACCAAAAATATATCGCTTATTTATGAGATCAAGTTGCTAACTAGTTAATACAAAATATATAACTGTTCAAATAAGTTTGTTATGTCCATAAGTCTGTTGTTGCAATTTACTTTCCATGTTGTCTTTTTCAGGCCACGTCTCCCTTCAGCACAAGGTAGCTATATAATGACTTCATATCTGCCACACTCCTAAGGAATTACGAGAAGGAATATAGGGAAAAGTTATTTATTTTTTGTCTCGCCTTGAAATTGAACATGAATTTATCTATCACCATGAAGAAGCCATCTGGAAAACCAAAAACCTAAGAAGCGAGCGACTTAGGGTTGTCCAGAATACAAATTAAACAAATGTGGTGCTAATATTAATACTTGTAAACATTATTTACTATTTTTATTTTGAGGTTTGACCATCTCATGAAAGAATGAAAGTATTGAAGTGATTTGACTTTTTCACCATATGTGCATCATGTTGTAAGTAACATAATAATATAATAACAATATGATTACATGTGTATATAATCATACAAGAATATTCATATGATATTTTTCTAAGTAAGGTGATTTAATATGATTTATAAATGTTTTGTGTTGGCTTTTATGTTTGTAGCAACACCTGCAGGCACACCTTGTTTGGTTGTTAATAGGTATCTTGATGCAAATGGCTAATCCAAAGGATTAGAATCCTAGAAGAATACTCAGTACATGTGTAAATAAAACATTTTCAATGTAACATCAATTTTAAAGAAGTCAAAATCATATGTGCTTTTAATGAGTTTTAATCCATCAATCAATGGTGCAATGTTATGATCTAAGGTGAATTAGTTTGATGTTTGTGTCTTTTCTCTATGTTACTTATGGTCACTTTTTCTATAAATAAGATAAGGTATGCAATACAAACATTGTTATTAACTCCAATATACTAACTCTTAGTTTTTAAAAAGGAAATATAAAAGTTAGAAATATGTTTAGCTTTTTTTGCTCATATTTGTATAGCTTAATTGTCTATTTAAAAATATAAGTTTTTAACCAATTTTGACCCTAAAATTTGTGTTGGAATCTTTTAAGGAATCTCCATTCATGCATCAATAAAGCATTCATGAAGCATATAACTACTAATTAAAATAAAATATATATATACATATAACTTAGAGTTCATCATTCTAAAATGACATCAGAAAATATAAAAACATAGTACGACAGGAAATTATCAAAGATTAACACTTCTACTTTGATTTTATGGAGAAAACTGTTGGGAGGAAATATAATTAACGCTTCTAATTTGACTTCATGGAGAAAATTGCGGGAGGAAATTTTCATTGAATGACCGTTCTCCAGGTTGTGTCATCATCATAGGGCCACTTCCTACATGCCAAATCGAAGAGTTATGGTGGATTCATTTTTAAAACTTTAATTGGTATATTTGTGCAAATAAAATAAAGGAAGTGTAACAAGCATATATACCAGAGGGATAGAATTGTGTCCATGGAGATAGATTCATATCAATAACTTGTCCAAACTCAGATCGTTGAACATTCACATTGTTATCATTCTCAATCACACTAGCTCGGTTTGCATTCTCATTTTGTCTGCATATAATGGTTAAAAAGAATAAATTTTCTTAAAACATTCAACACTGTTGAAGTTCATAAAAAGTTATACATATATTTACAATCACCTATGAGGATGAATCCCATTGAAGTTCATAAAATTCATGATCTGCACTTGAGGTTCTCTCGGTGGAAGCCAGTCAAACATGTTGCTTGGGTTTGTAGTAACCATGTTATTAATGTTTATGCGCTATAAAACCGATAAACAAATTCAACAGATAATATATATATATATATATATATATATATATATATATATATATATATATATATATATGTATATATCGTTTTAGTTTTATTTCTTTTATCTTTCAAAGTTGTGTAAACATACCTGTGTAGTAGATTCTGCATCTGTCGAGTTATACTTCTCAACTAGAACTTGCTAGTTAATTGAAACAAACAGATCAAATTAGTTTTATATTCATTATATATATATATATATATATATATATATATATATATACACACACACATTTGAATCAACATAATATGATCATGTTATGTACACATGTACCTTGCGAAGACGAACATGTTTCAGAGTCTCCTGAAGAACTTCTTCCCGATACTCAGCTTCACACAACGCTGTAATTTCAGAAGGATCCCCTTCAAACATCCTACACACATACAACATAAGATAGATTTAGCCATTAAACTTTTAACAAAGTTACATGATAATTACACTAATAACATGTGTTGTCTTTGTATAACTGGGTTATAAACAAGATAAATTTATTTAAGTATGAGTTAGATAAATTTATTTTCTAGTAATGTAAATTGTATATTGACTTGAGTTACATAAGAATTAATCGCTATAACATTCTCATAAGATAACTTCAAATAACATAAAGATATTTACCTGAGACGCTTTTCCATTTCTATCATCTGGGACTTGCATCGGATGATTTCTTTTTGAATTCCCTGTAACAAAGTAAAATACAGTTATAAAATTGCAATGATTCATGGTTGGTAATGAAACAACCAAAAATCTATATAAAATAGATTGGCTACAATATGATGTACCTCAAATTGTGAATCTGCATTTGATAGGCTACTTCTGAGATCAAATTAAATAAATTAGTAAAGTTATAAGCTTTAGTCAAAAATCAACATCATTAATTTTGAAATACCTAGAACAAAAAGAAGTAGAGAAGGAAAATATAAGTAATAAGAATGATGTATTCAATTGTGATTTTAGAAACAAAGGAAAAACCTGGCTTGGTTTTGAATACGGTGATCTTGTGCTTCTCTTCTCAACTTTCCTAAAGCCTTTTCCAGGTACTGCTTTAAATATAGATCGAATTAGCTCATTTGATCCAAAGTTTATAGTTTTTTTATTTACTACTCCATACCATCATATTACTATAGTAGTATGATAAATTCGTGACAACCAAATGCGTAAAAATATGTACCTCTTGGTTCTGCAACCTTCAGATGATTTTTGATGCATCAATACGGATCCAAATTAGATTACAAGCAAAACAAAGTACACATACACAAATAGTAGAAAAAGTTAAAATCCAAAGAAGAGTCATTCATACCAAACAAATTTATGGAAAAAAATTAATTAAAACATTGACACTACTTAATGCGTACCTTCCTCTTTCATGATCGGGAAGATTTATGTACCGGGCCATAATTTCTTCGATACTATCAAACACCCAAACAAGAATTTTAGGAAAATAATCAATGGGCGGTTAGAATAAAGCTCCAAAACAACACAAAATATATGCTCAAAAGGGGATTTATTTTGCATTAAAGGTTGATCTTTTTACCTTTTACTTCCAGAGAAAATGCTAGCTCTTCCGGAGGGAGAAAACATGATGAGGGCAACATCCACATCACATAGAACAGATAGCTCATAAGCCTTCTTGATCAACCCATTTCTTCTTTTTGAGAAAGTAACTTGCCTATTTGTTGTATTTTCTATTTTCTTGATCTGTAATTTTACTCTCCCCATTGTTTATTCATAGAATGATCAATTTCTTCTGATAATGTGTGTAGTTGAGAAGAATTAAGAAAGGAAGAGGTGAAGTAATGAGGAGGTGGATGAATGTGAAGAGATTTATGCAATGGAGTTTTGTCACTACTAGGCAAGGTGACATATGAGAGAGATAGAGGTGGCGGTGGTCGTTGGTGTCACCTAGCGAATATAAATACTAAAATATTCAATATTAGCTGCTAAGCATGAAAAGCAAGACATGTTCGTAGATCGGGTTCCTAACGCGTGACCAAATTTGTAGTGGTCCATGAATCGAATCTTAAAAGTCATGGTTTGCGGGCTTGCACACCATAAATTCATGAACTTTGTATAAGATTCATGCTTTTCATACGGGCACAAATTTTAAACTAGAAACGAGAGTATTAGATATAAATTTACTGTATATTGCATTGTAACTTTGGAATTTAGTCATCAAAGGTAACTTATATTGAATGTATAGACTTTTAGGATAATTTTTGAATAGAAATTACTTCATCTATAAATGGAATCAAACTTCAACATTTATATATGAGATAAGTTGGTTTATTAAGCTCCATTTAAACTATATTAAACTTTATATGAAGAGTAAGAGCACCTAAAAGATAAGGGCAAAATTTTATATATATATATATATATATATATATATATATATATATATATATATATATATATATATATATATAGAGAGAGAGAGAGAGAGAAAGAGAGAGGGGGGGGGAGGGAGGTGTTATTTCCACTTTTTTTTATCCATCCACTTAAAAAAATATGTTTTGACTTTTATACATTCATTATGATTCTATCTTTCTAATTGAAATGAACGGTAAAAAAGTCAAAACACTTTGTTTTCAAGTTGATGAATAATTAACATGAGTGGAAATGTCTCATCCCATCTATATCTGGTGGGCCTTGAAACTCTTAACGAGGCAAAATTTATGTTCTTTTGAATTTGGCTCTATTTTCACCTCTTTAATCATTATCTAATTTGTCCATGAAGAATTCTATTAAGTCTTCAATATGTTATGCATAACATTTTGTTTGAGATTAAGCCCAACTAGCCATACGTAAGGAAACAAAACCCAAAGTTAAAAAGATTTGGTAGCTACTAGCAAGTTATTTTATTTAAATCATAATTTAACTACTCGCACTACTACAAAATTTGATGTATTTTATTCGGTCAAAGATATATAACTTCAAGTATGTCCTTTTTAAGCACTTAGAATGTATGAACTACTCAAAATGGCTAAATTATAACCTAATGAGTTCCCATACAATGACTTTAGATAAAATCTTGAAATTTATATTGTGGATGTATGTGGAGATGCAATATTGAACAACTTGAACAGTAATATAAACTTAATGAAGATGATGGTCAAAACAAACAAGCATTCAATATATCTAATGATATATATCTTTTACTAAAAAATTTCAACACATCTATTCTGCCACCTCAATTAAATTGGATATATGTGAGCCTGAATCATAGATTCGCTACTCATATGGACGTACAAATGACAATTTTTAACAAATCTTAAAAGTTTATTGAACACCCAAAACAAAGTTTATAGCAATAAACAAACTTCTATGATTTATACAACAATAATATAAAAAACAGTGCGATAATATAATTTCTTCCAACAAACGATTACAAAATTACAAAAATACATAAAATGGAGAATAATTAAAGTTTTATGGTATAAGAATAAGCATATGTATTTATATTGGTTTGAATGTAGAACAAAAACTTAAACCATTTGACAAGGATACCCTCTTCGTCTCCACCAAATTTAATCACCAATAGTTGATCAATTAAAATCCTTACATCTTTAATGAATTTCTGAAACCGCTGAGAAAAATTTGCTAATTAGTGCTCTAAATACCATAGAAATATGAAGTGGACCTCTACCACAAATTCTCTATAATGTAGTTACACAATAAAAAATAAATTGAAGCAAAAAAGTTGATAAGAAAATATGAATATTTGTGTCCCTGAAATCACGATCTAACTCGTCAAGTTTGCTCCATTAACTTGTCGAGTCCTAGAACCTGAAATCGCGATCTAACTCGTCGAGTTTCCCCACCGACTCGTCGAGTTCCCAGGCTACTCTTAGGCGCGATTTACCGAATCAACTCGTCGAGTTCTACCTTAAGCTAAAACGGGAAAAACCAACTCAACTCGTAGAGTCCCTTTATGGACTCACCGAGTTCCCCAGTCTGATTGAGCCATCTCAATGGATTAAGCTCCTAACCTTTAGATCCAAACTCCACACTTCATCTACACACTGGGAATACACTTTTAAGGGTAAACTTTCCAACTTTACCCGCTATTAGTCCCTCTTTATGGGTTTAGCTCAAACCCTAACTCTCTAGAACATAGACCTTGGTCCACAAGCCATAGAACTCTAAATCAAAGTAAAATATAATAGATCTAGGCCTTGGACATCGGTTGGACACGTAAAGTTCCTAGCTTTCCGTCCATGCATGGCCTTTTAGGGCTAAAAAGGCCATAATAACGTTTTTAAGCTTGCATGGGGCTTCCATGGTCATAAAGTTTGCACCTTTATGCCATGGAACCCCTTCTAGATCCCAGATCTGAAATGTAAGTCACTTGGGATGCCCAAATCCCAAAGACCAAGGTTATTGAACCAAAACCCTCATAAAAATGGAAGTAAGTAGATCTAATGAATGAATGGTCAAGTTAGAGACTTGATTACCAGAAAGTGATGAGGATGGAAGGAAATCCCTGAATCTACTATCTTTTCCTTGAACCTTCTAGCTCCTTCTTCTTCTTCTAGCTTCAAGAACACACAAAATCACTCAAGAATGGCTCACACGCTCACAAATGCTCTAGGGTTTCATGGATTAGGGTTAAGGACTTGGAGGCTGGAAATGAGGTCAAAAGGTGGGAATTAAGATGCTTAAATAGGGTGCAAAACCCCGGAATTAGGGTTTCACTCTGGAAGACCTACTCGCCGAGTCGAGGGCTCTCGACTCGTCGAGTCGATAGTTGAAAACCCGCGTCCAAGACTCGATTCTACTCGACGAGTCTGGGGCTTCCAACTCGTCTAGTAGCTCTATAGAAATGAATAATTAATAAATAAATGCATACCAGAAAACGGGCGTTACAATTCTCCCCCACTTATTTTAGACTTCATCCTTGAAGTCTGCTATGTCTGGAAACAACTCTGGGTAGTGTTCCCTCATCTCCTCCTCGGGCTCCCAAGTCCACTCAAAACCCTTGTGGTGCTGCCACTGCACCTTCACTAGCTGAACAACCTTGTTCCTCAAGGTTTTCGTCTTGCGATCCAGAATCGCCACCGGTCTCTCAATGTAGTTCAGGCTGTTGTCAACCTAAATATACTCTAAGGGTACAATCACTGAATCATCTACTAGGCACTTCCGTAATTGAGAAACATGAAAAGTGTTGTGGATCTGGTTGAGCTCTGCTGGAAGATCCAATCGGTACGCCACCTTGCCCACCTGGGCTATAACTCTGAAAGGACCGATGTACCTTGGGTCCAGCTTTCCCCACTTCCGGAACCGGATGACACCTTTCCAAGGTGACACCTTCTAGAGGACCATATCGCCCACCTGAAACTCCAAGTCTTAACGTTGCTTGTCTGTGTAGCTCTTATGCCGGCTCTGAGCAGTCTAGAGCCTGCTCCAGACCTGCTGGATCTGCTTTGTAGTCTTGAGTACTACCTCAGTACTTCCCATGACTCTCTGACCGACCTCGCCCCAAAAGATTGGGGTCCTACACTTCCTCCCGTAGAGCATCTCGAAGGGAGGTCAGTCTATGTTGGCGTGGTAGCTGTTGTTATACGAAAACTCTGCTAACGGAAGATATGTATCCTAACTACCACCGAAATCCAAAACACATGCACGAAGCATATCCTCGAGAGTCTGAATTATCCTCTCACTTTGTCCATTCGTCTGGGGGTGGAAAGCAGTGCTGAAGTGAAGACGAGTACCCATCTCGTCGTGAAAACGCTTCCAAAATCTGGAAGTGAAACGAACATCTCGGTCGGACACCAACAAGACAGGCACTCCATGTTGTGTCACTATCTCCCGCACGTAAATCTCAGCCAGCTTCTCGGCCGATATACTCTCTTGGATCGGGATAAAATGAGCACTCCTGGTCAACCGATCCACAATGACCCATATCAAATCTACTCCACGTGCGGTCCTGGGAAGCTTTGGTGATGAAATCCATGGTGATATCTTCCCACTTCCACACGGGAATGTCTAGCGGTTGCATCTTGCCGTGGGTCCTCTGGTGCTCTGCCCTGACCTTCCTGCATGTCAAGCATCTTTCCACGTACCATGGTACATCCCGCTTCATGCAGGGCCACCAGTAATCAGGACGAATATCTCTGTACATCTTCGTTTCCCCGGGATGGATGGAGAACCTGGACTTGTAGGCCTCATCCATCAGAATCTGCCGTACTCCACCCATGTACGGTACCCAGACCCTCCCATGCAGGGTTAATAGCCTACGGCTATCGTAATCAAAGGAGGTCACCTGGCCTATGATCCGCTCACACTTCCGACACTCCTCCTTCAGGCCATCTACCTGCGCCTCTTTGATCTGCTCCAGTAATGGAGTAATCACTTTCATCCTCAGACAGATGTCTCGAATCGGGGCTGCTACCGCCTTGCGGCTCAGGGCATCGGCCACCACATTGGCCTTGCCCGGGTGGTAAAGGATCTCACAGTCGTAGTCGTTCACCACATCTAACCACCGACGCTGCCTCATATTCATATTCAGATGATCCATGAGGTTCCTCAAACTCTTGTGGTCCGTGTAAATGGTACAAAATGGACCCCATAGAGGTAATGCCGCCAAATCTTGAGGGCGACACCACAGCCCCCAGCTCCAAATCATGTGTCGGGTAGTTGGCCTCGTGAGGCTTTAACTGCCTCGAAGCGTAAGCTATCACGTGACCCCACTGCTTCAATACCGTACCCAAACCCGTGATCGA